TATCTATCTATCTATCTATCTATCTATCTATCTATCTATCTATCTATCTATCTATCTATCTATCTCTATCTTCTAACTTCATCTCTATCTATCATCCATCCATCCATCTAATCTTCATGTCTTCATCTCTATCAGGGCGATAAGGTGGGTGTTTGTAAACATTCCCCTGGAAGACCGTTTGTGAAGCCTTGCAGGCCGCGAATGAATGTAATTCACAGCCGTGGAAATAAAAAATGGTTTTGCCGGAACGAAGATTGTGTCTTATGCTTTCTAAGGCAGCCTAGGTCAGAACACATTGCCAGGGTTGTCCAAGAGAGCTCACACTTCACACAAGAGGTATCCCCTCCCCTCACCGGTTCGGTCTGATTTAGCGGCCTCCTCATCCGTCTCCTTCTGGGCCATGCAGTGGTACCCCTTCTTCATCAGCAGGTTGCAGAAAAGGATGCCAAGCAGACCCATAATGCAGAAGACGGGGACGATGGCCAGCACCGCGTACTGCGTAGCGCTCTCATCCGGCTTCCCATCCCGGGTGCCATTCAGTGTCAACTTTTCTCCGTGTCTTGGGTGGGGCTCGGCGTTTCGGGTCAGGCGGGCTGGACGTTTTCCGGAGCCTTCGAGAAGAGTCGGGAGAAGAAGACTTGAAAAGGTCATCGAGAAGACTTCGCTGTCTTTTTTTTAGTTTATATGTGTGTGTGTGTGTGTGTGTGTGTGTGTATAAAATATAATATTAGGTACATATTTCAAATTATTTATCCATTATTAATAACCGTGTTGAATTACTGCCATGCCTTCACGTCTGGAATTCTTGCTCCTGCCCTGTCAGACTAATTTCCTTCAGTGTGGCTTGTTTGGATTTTAAGTTACAGTTTGCGTTGACCATGTTTTGGACTTAATTTTCTGCAGCCAAAGGCTGTACCTAGGAGAGTTTTTCTCCAGCCCAGAAGGTAACCAGGACATTGGGGGCAAAGTTGGAGATAATGAAGCGACTCTTCTTGTTTATCTGACTGTGTTGCCTTTGTGCCACGCCCCTTGGGGTCATTACTAAAGGTCATAAAACGGAGAAAATCTCACTTAACAACCGTTTTGCTTAGCAAGGGACATTTTGAGCTCAATTGTGGTCATAAGCTGAGGACTACCTGTGCTTGAAAAGGGCTAATTCTGACGGCACACGGTTATCACATCCCACAGGACTTTGCATGCTCAGGACACTAAAGAGGTCCTTGTCTCTTGGAATCCGGCCAGGGCAGCCTCCTCCCCTGCTTTGTTCTCACCTTGGCATTCAGGTGACCCCCGGGGGGCAGACAGGCAAGGGAGGCAGCTACTCCTCGTATCCGTCTCCCCGTCAGGACTGTAGTACCTGCAAGAAGCAGAATGAGGAGAGGTAAGAAAAAAAAAAACTTGGGCTAGAAAAGAAATGGCGGAATGTCAAAACGTCCATCAGGATGAGCAAAGGGACGTTTCGATGACGGCCTCAGCTGAGAGAAAAGCGACAGGGAGCCCCTCCCTCTTGCATTCTGGGGAAAGGTGGGGGGGTCTAAATGGCAGACTAAACTTATTGATAAATCTGTCTGTCTATCTTTTGTCTCTCTCAATCTGTCATCTATCTTCATCTATCTATCTGTCTGTCTATCTATCTATCTATCTATCTATCTATCTATCTATCTATCTATTTTCATCTATCATCTATTTCTATTTTTATATTTCTACCTGTCTTCTATCTATCTATATCTATCAATCATCTATCTATCTATCTATCTATCTATCTATCTATCTATCTATCTATCTATCTATCTATCTATCTATCTATCTATCCATCCATCCATCCATCCATCCATCCATCCATCTATCTGTGGTATCTATATCTATCTATCTCTATCAATCATCTATCTATCTATCTATCTATCTATCTATCTCTATCAATCATATCTATCTATCTATCTATCTATCTATCTATCTATCTATCTATCTATCTATCTATCTATCTATCCATCCATCCATCCATCCATCCATCCATCCATATTCTATCTTCATCTCTATCATCTATTTCTATCTTTATATGATCTCTCTATGAAGATCTATCTTTTATCTTCATCTATCTCTAATCTATCTTCATATATCTATCTACCTATCTTCTATCTTCATCTCTATGCTATCTATTTCTATCTATCTCTCTATCTTCATCTCTATCTATCTATCTATCTATCTATCTGTGGCATCTATATCTATCTCTATCAATCATCTATTTCATCTATCTATCTATCTATCTATCTATCTATCTATCTATCTATCTATC